GTAAAAATTTTATTATTATTTTTATTAAAAAATATAAATTGTAGAGTTTTTAAATCAAATAAAAAACTTTTACTTTTTTATTTAGGGATATAAATTTTATATTTTTTATTTAAAAATATAAATTTTATTTTATTCTAATTAAAGTTACTGTTTGTTATATCATCATTGTCATCAAATAACTTTTTATATAGAAAAAAAGTAAAGTTTATATTCTTTATTTTTTAAAAATAAAAATTTATTACTTAATTTAAAAAATAAAAAATTTATATTTTTAAATAAAATAAATAATATAATTTATATTTTTACTTACACATTTTTTTTTAAATTTTTTTGGAACAATTTTACTAATAATCTACTATACTATAAAATATAAAGAAAGAGATTCTCAAAAAATTGAATATCTAAACTAAAGTGATGTTCTTACCAAAAGGTAAATGTCAAAACACTCGACAGAACTTGTTTACACCTAAAATAAACCAATAGGGTAAGGCTACGTGTCAAGTAAAGCCCAATTATCAAGAAAATCAATAGGCTGGATTTGGGCTAGGCTGGCTTACAATTTAATGGTCCAAACGGATTTTCAAGGAGGTTGGATCTTAGGTAGCAGAAGATAAAATTGGATCTGATAGTTTGAGTTTGACTTAAAGCGGGAAATTGAGGGTTTTTAGGTAGTTATCTTTAAGGTTTTGTTGGAGATAAGGTTAAATAAAAATTATTGGATAACTGTCAAACAACTGTCAAACGACTATCAGACATGCAACCCCACTACCAGATCATGGAGGAATAGTACCGAAAATCATGTAGGAAGTTCCCAGCACCGAAGAAAATAAAAACAAAGAGAAGAGAACAGTTACAGAAGGCCTGCCCTACACACACATTGCCCAGAACATGTTTTTCAACTTTCAGACTGTTTTTTTCCAAATTTCAACAATAGTTTCCAAATTAGTTTACCAGATCTATTCTTGTTCATAGCCTTAGGTTAGCTTTTTCCATCCTTGTTCATATCTTTCGTCAAAGACTTCAATTTAAGTTAGTTTTTAAGCATTTGGAAGCAATTCAACCTGCAAAACAGGTCTGCACTGTTGATTTGGTTAGTTCCTCTTTCTTTTATGGATTCAGTTATGTTATTTGTTCATGTAAATAGGTTGAATGCTTTCTACCTTTGTTCTTTTGTTTCTGCACAACAGCCAGACATGCAATTTATTTAATTTCAATTTCTAGATTCAATTTTATAAGTTTCCAGACTTTAATTATTTCATAGATTTTCCTTAAGTTTTAGTTATCAAGTAGTGTAGCTATTTTTTATTTTAAATCTGCAAGTAATTAAGTTTAATTATTATGGATTGCATAGTAGAAATCATTGTCTGTGATTTTACATTTTCTGTTGTCTACGAATTTTATTTTTATGGCATGTTGTTTCCTTTTATTGATCTCATGTTAGATTAATTGCCTTAAGATTTTGTGTTAATTTAGGATTTGTAGCTTTTATTATGCTCTTGTGGTTGTAAAGTCCTTGGAAGTTTCCAAGGCAATTAGTAACCCATTTTGCAGAACTCCACCCTCTGTTTTGCAACATCGTCTGGGGCGCAATTTATTTCACAGACGTTCTTTCCAGCCATCCTTTTTGGAAGTTGATCGTTGGAAAGGAGAAAGGTCATATGGAAAATCCTGTTTTCTTGTTTTTAGACAAAGCAAGTGGCACGCCTAACATCCAACTCACATGGTAAAGGTTGGCTGAGGATTTTTAGGGAAACAGAACTATTAGGAATTACAAATTCTTTTAATTTTTTTGAGCACAACTAAAATCATATAGATCAAACAAAGCCATAGGGCATCTATTGTGATATCCAGAATTTTTGTTTTAATTTGATTCAATTTAATCCCTTAAGTATATGAATGTAATAAGCCAAAAATATGAGGACTTATGTTTAATGATTGTAAGGTTGGAGGAGTGGTATGTAAAATGTATAAATTTAACCTAAACATGTGAGAATAAGTTTGCCCATTCTACAGAGCCTTCCTCTCACGTTGGTTTCCCCACTCAGGGTCAATGAGGTGACTTCATAATTTGGTGAATATAGTTGTTAAATCCATAAGGTCAACATTTTTTTTTTTTAGTTTTACAGTGATTTCTTAGTTTTAATTCAAAAAAATTATCTTGAAATTGTGAAAATAGATTTTTGGGTATGGATGGTTCTATCGAAGAGGGTTGGGCTTTTGTCGTTTGTTAAACTAATGGAGATCAACTTGCCTAATGTAGTTTCGTGATTTTGGCTTGCAAGTTTAGCATGGGTACATTGATTTTTATGGTAATTGTCCATCTCTATGGTGGCGGGCCAGACAAGTGTGGAGTCTGTACCTTGTTGGGCATTAGATTGATTCATCTAGTGGCTAGAAAAGAAAAAACGGAAAAAGAAGTTTTCATGGTTGATGTGTGGAATTTAATGAGTATTCTACTATATTGAAAATTGTCAAAAAGGAAAGGATGCTTAGTGGGTGGCGGATTGAGAAAGGATTTTTGGATTTATGTTGAATATTAATTAGAGGCAAGGAGTGCGTGGAAGCTAGTTGAATTGAACAATTGTTTGTCGGGAAAGATGATACTCGGAGTGGATATATCATACATAAGTCAAGTATTTGATTAGTTAAATAGTTAGATTGTTAAAGCTTTTTGTTAAATAGTTAGATTGTTAAAGCTTTTTGTTAAATAGTTAAGAAGTCTTGTTTCTCATTTCTAGACTACATGACAAGAAGGGTTGGAAAGCTTTCTGCCAGTTTTAGTTATACATTTTAGTGTCGAATCTGGTTGAGTAATTTGATTAAATGCTTGTATGAATTTAACTTCTTATTCTTGGATGGAATTTTTGGTTTGGTGAATAATAATTAATTCTTGTTAACTTTGTCATTTCATTGTCCGAGAAAAGTATAGATAAACTTAAATGTTGACTAGAATATGTTTGTTGTATTATGGTCTAATCAATTCTTGGCTTTGCATTTGGCTAGTGCTCGGTAAATAACTGAGGTAAGTGGCATTACCCTTTTCTAGAAATATTTGAAAAATAAATTATTCTTTTACCTGTTATTGTAAAATAAATCTATTTAAAAATGCAAAATATTTTAAATTATTTTTCTTTGGTATTTCTTTTTAAATGCATTTATTTTAAAATAAATGTTGAGATGAGGAAATTTGACAATTTTGTGACATGGAGGTTTTGGAATTGAAAATTGATTTGATATTAAGCTAACTTGTTTTGCATGGACAACCTTACCTAGGGGTTAAACTAGTGGCAACTATTTGACTGGAATTTCATTTTAGATTATTGTACTGTAAAAGATTATTGAACGTTAAATCATGTTAGACTGTTGAATTATAAACTATATTAGACTATCGAACAACCCATTTTATTTGGCAAATTAGATTATTGAACAACAAACGATATTGGGTTACCATTTGGTTGATATTCTTGTGCTACAACCATTAGGGATTGAGAAGTTATTTTGTTCATGAGCTTCTTATCACCTATTTCCATTTGGAATAATTTTATTATTATTTATTATCACTTTTTAATAAAGATATTTATACTTGATCTTACTAGCAAGCAACGACCTACCCCTAATTTTTTTTTTATAGTCTTGTTAGCCATCAAATTTGAACAAAACAAAATAAAACAAAACAAGAAATAGAAAAGGAAAAGAAAAGAAAGACCACCAAAAGAGGCCACAAAAGAAGCTGATAGACCATTCAAGGTGGTTAACAGACAAAAGAGCACAATTAGCCAACTACACCATGCTTGAGAAGCTAGAGGGCTTATGAGCACCAAACAAACAAAGATACTTTGGGAAGGTTCTAGTCAAAAGCAAGAGGATTCTAGAGTTACACATTCTTTTAATTGATAGAACAAAGTAGTTACATTTAAATTCAACAGTGATGTAAGAAAGTAGGTTGGAAATCCTAACCTAATCCTTGCCTCCAAAACTAAGAAGTAACATGGATTGGTGTCTTGCTTCAAAAATAACAACACATTTTTACAAAAGGACAAGTCCCTATATGAATGCTTGAGGAAAATATAGCTCCCTTGCCTGCATATGCCCTTGGTAAATGTAATACCCCAAAATTTTGTGCTATTTTAGCATTTAAGTAAGGGTTTTT